GAATGACTCCGGACTCGGAAACTGCCGGCCGGGCCGCCTCAGCCGCCACGCCGCCACGCTCCGCTGTTCCGTTTTGTCCGACTCATCAGAACGGGGCCGTTCTTGGGGCCATTCCGGCAGGCCGGGGCCGGGCCGGGCCGCCTGTTCGCACACGTATACGGATGGCGCCGACCCGCCGCCACACTGCCACGCCCCAATCCCGGAATTTGTTCCCAGGGCGCATCATTGTGTGGGAGCGAGCGAGACAACACACACGGCCCGGGCGTTACGCCGCTCATATTGCAAACTTTACTGCCGCCACCTCTTCCCCCCCCCCCTCTCTCTCTCTCTCTCTCTCTCTCCCTCTCTCTCTCTCTCTCTCTCTCTCCTCTCTCCCCTGCACCTGCTCGTTAGCGCGTCACGCTTTGCAGTGTAGTGTAATTGTCGATACCCCGCGGGGAGTAGCGCCGTGACGACCCTAAAAGTTGTAAAAGTGGTGCGACTTGCTACTCGCTACACTGCGAGTGACCATCATCGACTTAAACGGCCACCGTTACGTCCGCGGCTTCAATTACCACCTCCCGAATGACTTCGCGGCCGAGAAAGAGGAAGAAACGGGCGCGACTTGTCGAAAAACGCGGCGTCGCTCTGTCTCTCTCGCACCCTCACGGGACGCCCCGCGAGTGCGAGAGAGAGAGAGAGAGAGAGAGAGACAGCTGCTCGTCACGCCGTCCGCGTTTCGGTTTTTTACAGCCGCTGGACCGACGGCGGGACGACGGGAGGACGGCGATGAACCAATGAGGAGGAGCAGAGCAGTTAGTGGGTTGGTAAAGCACTGCCCAGTGGGCTGTTTCGGAAGAGTCGCTCTGTCTCTCTCGCTCCCGCGGCCCGGCCCGCAGGGGTGCGAGAGAGACGGCGCTAGCCGCATCACCGCAATTATCGTGGACGTGGATTGGACGCGCTGTGGAGCAACGCAGTGCCACTGCCCGGCACCGCGGTGGCGGCTTGGCGGCGTCGCCACTCGGAACACACCAACACACTCGCGGACGCGGACGAGACGAGTTTATTTACACGTTAGTGAGGCAACGGCCGCTGTCTCTCTCGCACTCGTGGGGCGTCCCGAAGGTCCCGAAGGAGTGCGAGAGAGACGGAGCGCGGTGCGAAGCGAAGACGCGCGCACTTTGCAACACGAGTGGCGCGTACTGGGATCGGGAGTACTGCCCTGCCAGTGCAGTGCAGTGCCGCCCTGCAGACTCATTCCGTCGCTCTGTCTCTCTCGCCCTCACGGGCGCGCCGTATAGGCGCGAGAGAGACGAGCGACTCTCGGAATCAGTCTGCCGGACTGGTGGCCAGCCTGTAACGAGGAGCGTGAGGTAGTGAGGCAGTGAGGCACGAGGTTGCGCGACGCGTCTGCCAGTTGGCACGCCTGGCTGGACAGTGCGGTCCAGTGTGGTGGTGGCCAGTGTGGTGGCCAGTGTAGCCGCGGAGCGATAGTGACCTCATACGCGGCGGCCGCGTCGGTCCAGAAGCCCTGGCAAGCCCGCCAACTGATGATGATTCCGCGTGATGCTGTCTCTCTCGCACTCACGGGGCGCCCCGCCAGCGCCGCGTGGATTGCGTGCTGCGCTCTGCGCACGTTTAGCGTGGCGTGTTCCTCAGAATGGAATCCATGTTTCGCTCTGAACGAGGAATCTGGTGGTGCCTTAAAGTGTCGAGTCGGAGGCCTTTGCTGCGAACGCGCTGACAGTGACTGTGAAGCCGACCGCGGCGCGTCGATGCCTCTGGATCTGGATTCGGATTCAGATTCAGATCTGAATATGGTGCTGGCCTCCACCGCCGCGGCGACAGGCGCGGTGCACCGCGGCCCGCACGGCCTGCATCACGAGCGCGACAAATGGCCCTTTCGCGGGCTGACATTTTATCGGGAGGAAAGCGTGGACGATGTCGGACTGCTGGACCAGCCGGTGGATTCCGAACGCCGCTGTCTGTCTCTCTCGCACTCGTAGGGACCACTGCATAAGTGCGAGAGAGACAGAGCGACGAAAGCGCCGTTGGCGGGCCCAGGCGACAGCAGTGGCGACCGCACGGTCCCGCTGCCGTGCCAAACCCCAAACACCTGTGACAGTGGCGTGGTAGCGTGGCCAATGGCGTTTGCCGTTTTCGTCTTTTTTCGCGCTTAGTGCCCGGGACTGGTTCGGCCAGGACGGCGACGCCGAGGCGACGCCCAGCGCGTCCCGGGTGGGCACCACGCCGTCAGGCTGGGGAGCATTTCCGGGTTTCAGGGAAGCCCAGCAAGAGCGTGGTCGGGGTTCACCCGTAAACCTGGTCGAAATGTGGGGATCTCTTCCTGCTCACGTGCAAGTACCCGAAAGGCGCACCACGCCGCTTAAGGCCGCCCCCTCTTTGACGGGGCGGCAAAATATGCGCGGACAGGTCCTCGGCTATTGGGTGGTCTACGACTCTGTGACGGCGTCGTCGCCGTGCTCTAGCCTGCCTCTCACAAACGGTGCTTCGCTTTCGTGGCCGTCTCTCTCGCACCGCGACGGGACGCTCCGTGAGTGCGAGAGTGACAGTACAGAGTCCTGCCTTCGCGTGCGGCGGCAGTCGCATTGTCCTGCGGGTCACTGTGCTTCGGCCTGCTCGGCCCGCTCGGCCTTCTCACTTGCTAACAAGCCGCAGGACACATGGCGGGTCGGTCCAGTGGCCTACTGACTGCGGCCCGTCGACCCGTCAGCCTGGCGGTGTAGGCGTCCCCTTCACTTTGGGGGCGGCCGCCACGCCGCCACGCCACGCATGCAATATAAGGGCACGGCCTGCTGCAGTGCGCAATAACGCACCGCACCGCCATGATGCAGGTCTTGATGCTGGGGGAGGCCGCGTGGAACGGCGAGGTGCCGATTCGGTCACAGTGAACCTGCTGCCGCCGCTGCCGCAGTTCGCCCTCTCTGGCGGAGTTCCTGGTCGCCGCCGGCGGCCGGCGCGGGCGCGGAACGAGACGACGGGGCGGGGGCGGCGGAGGAGGAGGTCAGTTTGCAGGGATTCGGCGTCATCGCTGTGCCCGGCGTGGCGGCCCGGCCCGGCGTCCCGGTCGCCCACCGCGTTGCGACACGATGAGCCTGCATCTTCCTGTCCTCATCATTCCGGCCTCCAGTGTCCGAGACTCGGCAGTGTCGCGGTGTCGTCAAAACCGCCAACGGCGTTAACGGGGTCATTTAATTTGAAGAGTCCGCCTCCGCCTTCGCGCGCGTGTGTCCTGTTTTTTTTCGGCTGCTTCGGTTCCGTCGTACGTCCGGAGGCCGGGCTCGCTCTGTCTCTCTCGCACCCCTACAGGACGCCCCGTGAGTGCGAGAGAGACAGAGCGACCGTTTCCGAGTCATGTGTCCGGAGAAACGGCCGTGTCCTTCACCTCGGCGTCACGCACCGCCGCGCCGACAGTGGCGGGGCTCCGCGAGTCCACGGTAGAGGTCCTGGACGTCCTGGAGGCCCTGGAGGCCCTGGAGGGCTTGGAGGGCTTGGATTAACAGTGAGATTGGGACCAGCAGAGCGACCACACTGCTGGCTGTTTCCGAACATTCGTCAGCCTGTCTCTCCCGCACTCTTTCGGAGCGCCTCACGAGTGCGAGAGAGACTGTTCTGAATTCGGTGGCTGCAGGCGGCTGCGCGAGAGAGAAGGACTAAAGCCTAATCGCGTTTGCCGCTGCGAGGCGCTCCAAAGGGGTGGCGCTTGAGGCATGTTTGTGACGGCTTTCACTTGGAGCAGCGGTCAAGGGACGGGAGTCTCGGTCGCTCTAGGGACTCGCCATGCGTCTTTTTCAGCATTTTAGGCTGTCGGCACCTGTCGTCCGACGAAGGCTGCTCAGGAGCGGTTTAGAGCAATTTAGAATTTTTTTTCTGTCAAGTCGCACGCCCTGCTAGTCGCGTGCTGACGGCGCAGCGCCCTGCGGCTGAGGAGATTGAATCCGGCCGGATGGCCACGTGTGGAGGAGAGAGAGAGAGAGAGGGAGAGAGTCAGAAGGAGAGAGAGATCTGTCCCTCGGCTGGTGGCAACAAAGCCCGGCCATTGAAAGGCATTCAGAGGTCCGCTGCCCGCGGCGGTTTATGGCGTTAAACGAGCGTGACATTCAGCAGCCCCAGTCACGCTCCAACACGCGCCGGCTAGCGCCAGCAGACTGATTCCGAGAGTCGTTCTGTCTCTCTCGCTCTCATGGGGCGTCCCGTATAGGAGCGAGAGGGACAGAGCGACGAAAACGACTCTCGGAATGAGTCGGCAGCTCGCCACGTAACGCCGTCACGCCCCTACGGCCTACGGCCTGCAGCCCTTCCGCCGGCGCTACTCCGCGCGGCGCCGACGCCTAACACGCGGGGTATCGACAAGGTCGCCACTTTTCTCTGGCCGGCCACTACACCGTAGGGCAGCGCGTTCACACCGCGAAACCGCCGCGCTCATCAACATCTCCATCAGGCTCGCCGGTGAGGCAATAGAAGCAAAAACCGGAGCATGTGTGTGCTCAGCGAGCGGTCGCGGGCCGGACTGCAAGAGCCGTGGTTCGACCCCCGCCGCCGCGGCCCCTTTTCCCCGAGCAGAGATCAGTGCGGGCGTCAATGAGGAAGACACGGGGCAATCAGGGCTGCGTTTGTGTGCGCCAGGCTCGTCGGGGCGTTGTTGGTTGTTGCGTCCCGGAGCATCTATCTGGAGCAATCGGCCGCTCGCTACACTGGCCTGCTCGCGGATCGCACTCACGAACCGGGAGAGACTTCGGGGGTCGGTGCCACACCACTGGAAAAGGGCGGTGGGGATTCTGTTGGTCGCAAATCGGCCTGGCTTCGCCTCGCCGTCTCGAAGCCCCAACGCGGCGCGTCCATTTCCTCTGGCGTTGACATGTTTTTCTTCGGGTTGCCTTTCGCGCTGCCGGCGAAGCGACCAGCGACCGCGAGGCAAAACGAACGATGGCCGTTAGCACGGTTTGCACGTTTTTCGCGCACCCGTTGTCTCACTAACGCCCTTGCCTCTTTGCCCGCAGTTCCGCTTCCCGGACGACCCTCGCTTCGACCCGCGCCTGCACCAGCTGTCGCCGCAGCAGCAGTCGCAGATCCTGGAGGACATCCGGCAGCACCACCGCTTCCACCAGCAGCACCAGCAGCAGCAACTGCAGCAGCAGCAGCAACAGCGGCCGCTGCGGCCGCGGCGCCCCGACGCGGCGTTCAACCAGCAGCCGCGGAGGCCCGAGTCCCACCAGGAGCAGTTCAACGTCATCAGCCGCCAGCCGCCCTTCCGGTTCCAGGGCGAGCCCGAGCAGCCCAACCCCTTCAAGATCACGCTCTCCGACAAGCCCATCGTCAACTTCCACCCCGTGCCGCAGCTGCCCACCGTGGCCGCCGTGGCGCCCGTGCAGCCCGTGCTGTTCGTGCAGCAGCCCCAGCTCGACGACGCCGCCCTGCTCGCCTTCCCCCAGCCGCACTTCGGACCGCCCGAGGCCGTCCACCACCAGGACGCCGTCCACCACCAGGACCACCAGCAGGAGCCCATTCGCCACCAGGAGCCCATTCGCCACCAGGAGCCGATCCGCCATCAGGAACCTATTCGCCATCAAGAGCCTATTCGCCATCAGGAACCTATTCGCCATCAAGAACCCATCCGTCATCAGGAGTCCATCCGCCATCACGAGCCGATCCGTCATCAGGAACCGATTCGACACCAGGAGTCGATCCGCCAGCCCCCGAAGCACGATAACAACCTGTACATCCAGCCGGCACCGACGCACGGCCAGGATGCCGACGCCCCAAGCCAGCACTTCGGGCACAGCTCGGCCGAGTACAAGGAGAACACGATCGCCACGTCCTCGCAGAACTACTTCGCGCAGAACTTCAACAAGCAGCCCAGCAACAAGATCCCCCTGGAGCCGCAGACCCCCCAGACGACGCCGGACTACTTCGAGCCCGCGGGCACGCCGTTCCCGCCGTCGCGGACGCAGCCGCCGCGCTCCGAGGTGATCCACGACATCCCCGTGGCCGTGACGCGGCCGCAGCTCGCCACCGAGGCCCCCGTCGTGCTGCCCACCCTGCCGTCCAAGCCCTCCGGTGGCGCCAAGCCGCTGTACTTCGGCGACCGCAAGCAGCCCAAGCTGTCCACGCCCGGGCCCACCCTGCCGAAGATCAAGTTCCCCAAGGAGCTGGAGGAGGAGTACTCGCTCGTGAGCGTCAAGCACCTGAACGAGGCCGTGTCCGAGGCCGAGCACGCCCGCAGCACAGAGCGCCCCCGCAACGCCAAGATCCGCCTGGAGAACCACCTGCTGCAGCAGTACAGCCCCACGCCGGGCGAGGTGGAGCAGACCACCACGAGTGACTACTCAGCCGTGCACCTCCAGGACGACCGGAAGCAGCTCCTGGACCAGATCACCAAGGCCCACCAGAGCGAGCAGGCGACGCGCACGCCGCGGCCGCGCAAGACCACCAAGCCGTCCAAGGAGATAATCGAGATCACGTACCAACAGAAGCCCAGCACGCCGCGGCCCGCCACCAAGGCGCCCAAGAAGACGGACGACGTGGTGCACCCGCCCGACCTGCAGGAGCAGTTGCTGAAGCAGCTCCAGGAGCAGTTCAGCCAGCGCAAGGACCTGGTGCAGCAGCTCAAGCTGGACCCCGAGGCCGGCGTCGTACCGTCCAACATCCTCACCTCCACGGACTTCCTGCCCAAGAACGCCACCGGCCCCATCATCACGTCGGGCGGCCAGAAGTACCAGGTCATCTCGCTGCCCGCCAAGGAGGCCCAGGCGCTGCTCGCCAAGCAGAAGGCCTCGGCGCCGAGGTCGTCGCCGACCCCCGCGGCCAGCACCACCACGGCCAAGCCGCCCAAGAAGGTGCTGGACGAGCTCACCAAGGGCGTCATCCCGCACGGCGCCGACTTCGAGATCATCCGCAAGACGGAGGACGGGCGGCTGGAGCCGGTGCGCGGCGTGCCGTCGTCGCTGCCCGACAAGAAGGTGACGTTCGTGCTGCTGGAGGAGCAGCACGACGGCTCCTACAAGGTGCAGGGCGTGCGCGGCAACGAGGCCAGCAAGGAGGCCAACGAGGACGGCGTCGACTCCATCCTCAAGAAGATCAAGGCGGGCGAGATCGAGCTGCCGCCGCCCTCCAGGGACAACAGCGTGGCCAAGCGCACCACGGCCGCGCCGCCGAGGAGCTCCTCGTCGGACTCGTACGCGTCGCCGTCGTCGCCGACCTTCGGGCCGACCACCACGCCGACCGCGCCGACCAGCTACGAGCCGTCGCCGCCGCCCTCCAACAACATCAAGGTGTACGTCAACAGCGGCTCCGGCGACCTGCACCAGCAGTCCAGCCCCAACAACATCTACAGCACGGTGGCGCCCGACGACTACCCCTACTCCTCGTCGACCACCAGGCCGTCGTACTCGTCCGCGCCGACGTCGCCCGCGCCGTCCACCGTCTACAACACGTACCCCACGCCCGCCAGCAACGACTCGTACATGACCAGCCAGACGTACCACAACACGGACGCGGTGCCCGCCACGCACAGCAGCCCCAGGCCCAACTCGTACTTCACGGAGCCCACCACCAACCCCGAGGCCAACTGGCAGCTGTCGGCGTCGTCGGCGCCCTCCTTCGCCAGCCCCACGCCGCTGCCCCCCAGCCCCGCGCCCACCACGCACACCAACAACAACAACAACTACTACTCGCAGTTCCTGCCCACGGTGTCCTCCGTGTCGGACAGCAACGCCATCCCGTCGTCGACGGCCGACCCGGCGCCCTACTCGGTGGAGCCCCAGATCAAGGACTTCTACAGCCCGCAGTCCGAGGCGCCGCACTTCGCCGAGCCCGCGCCGTACTTCCCCGACGACTCCAAGAACCACCGCGCCATGTACGCGCCGCCCGTCAACCACAAGTACGCCAACCTGACGGCGTCGTCGCGCGCCCCGGACACGCTCATCGACACCCTCAAGAGGAACGGCTTGCACGCAATGGCGCGCTTCCTGCGCCAGTCCGGCCTGGACAGCATCCTCAACGACACAGGTACACGCCTCCCGCGGTGCATTCCGTCTCTTTCTTTCTTTCGCGCGTTACGTAATACGTAGACGTGGCCGAGTACGGCGCGGCCGTTGTTTTGCGAGATGTCACGGCCGTATTCGGCGAGGCAAGGCGGAGATGACTGATTTGCCACTCTAATTGAAGTCAGCCTGGACTGCAGGCTGGCTCTGAACGGTGCTCTCGTCCCTCTCGCACTCGCGGGGCTCCACCGCGGCGTGAGAGAGACAGGGCGACTCTGTTCGGAATCAGCGTACTGGCTGTGACGGAGACGGCCGGCTTCAAGGCGCCGCCCTCACAGCTTCTCTGCAGTCTGATTCCACGGAGTCGCACCGTCTGTCTCTGTCGCACTCACGGGGCGTCCCCCAGGAGTGCGAGAGAGACCGTCCGCTGAGCGTCTCGCTTTGTTCCAGGCCCCTACACTGTGTTCGTGCCGACGGACCGCGCCTTCAAGACCCTCCTCGTCCAGCTGGGAGGCCCCGACCGCGCCGAGGAGAAGTTCCGAGAGAACCCCAGGCTTCTCAGCGGGGTTCGTAACAACACTAAAAATGCTCGCGCTGGCGAAAGTGCGACGCCCGTCATTTCGGGTCTTCGCAGTGTGGTGGGTTAAAAGTCGGGAGGATTCGATTGGCGCTCAAGGGCGCCGTCGTCGCGGTGCCCCGGGCGCTCTCCGCCGGCCGCCCCGTCGGGCACGCTGCTCGCTGTCCGCGATGGCATAACGTAATGATGGGAACTGCAGCACGCCCCGGCACGCCCCGGCACGCCCCGTGGTTGCTATGGTTACTGAGTCACCCGTTGCCGTGGTTACCGGGCTGGCCGCGGGCCGGCGTGGCGTGCGCCGTGACGCACTCGGCCGCCTGGCCGCGGGTCACGCGGGACGCACCGCGCCGCACGCCGACCTGGAAATCGGCGTGGCTGTTGCGAGCCGCGAGCCGAGGCGCCAGCGGCGGTCAAAATCCTTTATAGAGCTGTAATTTTGTTTTGACACCCTCGGCCGACAACGAACCCTCGTCTGCTTCGTCGCTCGTAGCGGCGCGTGGGCCGTTTGGGTGAACTATGCACTGCAAAAACTTTGAAAAAAAAAAAAACAGCGGTTTCAAGTGTTGAACAAGCCAAAATTATTTAATAAACAGCGGTGCATCTCACTTATCTTCCTCGTCGCCATCGTTGCCAACGGAAAGACACTAAATTATGCTCCAGACAAAACTCTGTAAAAAATAGAATTTATCTTTTCAGTTTGGCAAAACGCATTGCCTCCCGTGTGTGATTCATGCCCCGCTCACCGGCGATTGGTATCACTGCGTGGAGCGAGCGACGCGGGAAAAAACAAATGCCGACCGTTATCGCCAGATTGGCGCCTTTATTTTCTCACCCGCATGCGCGCCGGACTGCGAGCTGCTGAATGTCGCTCTGTCTCTCTCGCACTCGTAAGGCGTCCCGCAAGGGTGCGAGAGAGACAGAGCGACGAGGCACTGGCCGCGCAGGGCCACCAGGGCTGCCAGTGCTCGGGGCGAGAGCGGTCTCTCACGATCATCTCAAGGGGGACTCAGGGCTGCGCGCGATCGGTCCAATGCCAAGAGAAAGGGCGATAAGTTGATCTTACGCGTGTGACGGTACCAGACCAGGGCTGCCGGCTCGGGGCTCGGCCTGCGCTATTGTACTTTCATAACACGGCCAGGCCGTTTTAGGTGCCGCGCTGGCTTCACGGCTGCACTGCTGTGCGTTCACCGGCTGTGGTCTCGATGGTCTCAATGCAGCCAGCTGTCGTGGCGGGGACCGTCCGCGATCCGCGTAGCGAACCCGCGGAGTCACTGAGTCACTTGCCTCAGCCCTTATGGCCTAAAAGGACTCGAACCGAACGTGTGACCCCACCAATGGATTGCTCTCCGAACGAGGAATCCATTGGTGGGGTCACACGTTCGGTTTTGGTCCTGTGTAGCTGCTCCGGAGCTCAAAACGCGTCTGGAGTTTTGGCCGCCTCCACCTTGGCCGGGTCCAGGACTCGCAGGATGCTCCGTTTGGCGCTAATACTGATGCCTTTTGCAGCTGCTGTTGCACCACGTGATCCCCGGCGCCTTCAGGCTGGCGTCGCTGCAGGACGAGATGACGGGCGTGTCGCTGGCCGGCACGCAGCTCCGCGTCAACACGTACACCAGCCAGGACGACGAGTGGAACGACGTACAGGCACGTTCAAAAGCCGCCGCCTTGCGCCATCCCAAAGTGTAGTTTCGTGGTTGTGGGCTGCGAGGTGCAGGCTGCAGGCGTGAGGGGTGTTGCCGCTGTGCGGTGTGCCAGCTCGGCAGCGCCTCGCTATCTACCACCAAGGCGGCACCCCGCGCGGGGAGCGTCCTTGAGACGCTCGACGGTGACGGCGACCTTGTCCTCGCCGCTGACTCCCTCTTCCCGCAGGTGGTGACCATCAACGGCGCGCAGGTGCTGCAGGAGCTGAGCGACATGCCCATCCCGCAGGGCATCGCGCACTCCGTGGACAGGGTCATGTTCCCGCTGCCCGTCGGCGACCTGGTGCAGACCCTGGCCGCCGACAAGGACCGCCGCTTCGCCACGTTCCTGCGCGCCGTCCGGTCGTCCGGGCTCGCCGACATGCTCACGGGTGAGTGGGGTACCTTGCAGTGTCGCGGCGCTGCCGGCGGAGCTTTTGGCGTCCAAACAACACACTGCAAACAAATTTTCAAAACAGCTAAAAAAAAAAAAACCTTAAAAAAAGTTTTAAAAAAACCTAAAAAAAGGTCAAAAAAAGCTAAAGCAAAATTTAAAAAAAGCGAAGAAAATGTTTTTGCAATTTTTGGTTTGTTTTGGCGTGGCGATAACTTTCGTCTGACTGCGTTCGTTGTTCCGCCGTGCGAGTCGCGGTCGGCACCCCTTCGAAGCGCCTACATGTGACTCTACGAACACACAGCAGGCAAGGCTCTATGGCAACAAAAAAGTAGAGGAGGAAAAAAAATCTTACACACACGCACACACAAGGCGAAATGAGCGACGAAAAGTCCCAGCCATGTTGCCCCGGCGTTGGCGCGGCGCGGCGGGCGTTTTCTCGCTCTCACCTAACGTGTCCCACGAGCGGGCCGGCGTGCCGCGGTCAGGCAGTCGGGTCGGCACGGGTTTAACTCTTTCTCGTTACGGTAACGAGTGTTTAAGTGCTCAGGAGCCAAAGTTGATTATGAGGCGTGGGCGGCTACGTGCTGCTGGGCTCAGACTACCACTGTACTCGCCGATTTGTTGTGAAGACGGAACTTCTTTGTAGTACCGTTCTTTTTTCACAGCAGTTAAAGCCGATTTTTTGCAGTCAAGATGCTTTTTGTTTTATCGATACCATTGATAATTGTAAACTTTTTGGTACAAATTTTTTAAATTTTCTAAATTTTAAACCAAAAATTATCAATAGTTAGAAATGAATGTTGGAAAAAAATGTATTGGAAAGCAGACCGGACCTAGCACTTAAACAGCAGCAACAACGGCGAGGCACTTGATGGCGGCGGTGCACCGTAAAACGATAAACTGGGCTCATCGCGGAAGAGCGGACGCTGCGCGGACGCTGCAATCCCGTAATCCAGCGGCGATGTTATTTGCTTTTTGCTTTTCGGAGGATCGGCAATTACTCCCCTAAAAGGCCCCGCCGGTTTTATGGATCGGGGCGTGACCGGTGGCATTACCGCGGCCACTCGGCGTCGCGCCGCGCCGCGCCACGCCACGCCACGCCACGCCACGCCACGCCACGCCACCGCGGTGTGATCTAACTTGAAATTAGTCGCCGCTCATTTTGTGCGGACGAGTTCCGGACCGATTCTGCACCACTGTTACTACTCGACTACTTCCACGGCTGCGCGAATCCGCTTCGCCGGCCGGCCGGCTGCTTTTCTCTGCCGAAACTAGATTTCGTCGGGCAAGCGCGGCACGCGAGCACCGGGCTGGAACATAAATTCGGACGGTGATTATCTTGTTCGATTCGTTGCGTTCCGTTTGAAAGCAAAGCGATGTATTTCCTTGCTTTGGTTTCTAAAAAACTGTTTAAATTAATAAACCGTCCTGAACGATTTTGCAGTTTTTCTGGAATGGGAATCGTAGCGGAAACAATAATTACGTTTTTATTAGGGAGGTGGGAGCTCTGCCGTCGAGTGGCGCGCGGCGGTTCGGTTCGAAATATCTGCGATCGCGCGCTCTTGGGACTTTCTCTGGCCGCAACACCGACTAGAACAGTACGTGGCGTACTGTGTACTGGAGGACGTACCTCGGGACGGACGCCAAGTCGGCGCTACAAACCGCGCGAGCACCGATTCGTTCGACCCCCTCCCTTCTCTTACACCGACTCAGAGCGTGCTAGAGACCTACCGAGTACGTCCAGCCGGCATTGTTCACGTCGTAAATCTATTTTTGTTTTAAAAAAAGCGGAAAAAGATGTGACTTTTGCGCCGAGCTAGTCGGTTCATTTATTTGGCTCCGTGAACCCATACGGCTCGGCCACCGCACCCTCGGCAGGCGTTGCGCAACGTGCCCTTTGCCCCCGGGGCCGTGTCCTGGACGCCCCGGCCGCCCTGGCCGCAGTGGCCGTCGTCCGGCATAACGTGTTAGCAGTGCAAGAACTGGAGCGAGGATCCCAGCGCAGATCCGCGGCCCAGATTCGGCCCGACTTGTTTGACAGCGACTCTGCTTTCCAAATGCCCCGTGGTTAGTTCGTCGGTTCCCCCATTTTTCGTCTTGTTTTTGTTTTTTCCAGGCCTTCGCCTGGGCCTTCCCTGCCCCCGAGAAAGCGATCCGGGTCCGTCTGACCTGTCCGTTCTGTCCGCAGGCAGCAAGACCTACACCGTGTTCGCGCCGACGGAGCGCGCCTTCCAGGGCCTCAAGGACGCCGACCTGGCCAGGCTGACGACGGAGCGGGCCGGGGCGCGCGCCCTCGTGCTCAAGCACATCATGCCCACCACCTTCTACTCGGCGGGCATGAGGTACTTCCAGGTGCGGGAGAGCATGGCCAGAGGGAAGCAGATCACCATAGTCAACGAGGAGGGTGAGTGTCACTAATTTCTAGCTTTCTTGCTGCGGCGTTCCCGCGCTGTCTCTCTCGCACCCCCGTGGGACGCACCGTGAGTGCGAGAGAGACAGAGCGACGAAAGTCAAGTGCATATTAATTAACCGCGGGGCGCGCGTGAACGGCCGACACTTCCGCGGAGGGCTCTGCGGCTCGGCCAGTGAGAGGTCAGAGAGAGGAGAGAGAGGGGGAGAGAGAGGGAGAGAGAGAGAGAGAGAGAGAGAGAGAGAGAGAGGAGAGAGAGAGAGAGAGAGAGAGAGAGAGAGAGCGAGCGATGGCGGTTTACTTTTCCCCGCCATCCGCAATAAAGCGTGCTCGCAGAGGAGTGTGCCCGCGGGGGAAAAATATTACGAAGCACGAACGATGATGCGCGTGACTGTGCGCGTGCGGAAAAATGGCTTTCGTTTTATTTGCCGAAGCGCACAAATAATTGGCAGGGCTTGTTCCGTCATTTGCTTTACTGGGCACCCAAAATGATCCGTGACTTTGTACGCGTCGCTTCTATCTCTCTCTCTCTCTCTTTCTCTCCTAATGACCCCACAGAGCGATTCCTCTACACCTCGATTACGGAATTCACTTTTCCCGCTTCGCACACTCACACACCACACACACGCACGCACACACACTTACTCTGGTGATTGAGGCCGTTTTGTTGCACAAGCCACGGGCGCTGCTCGAGGGTCTCCAGGCAGCCCAGGCATTGCCGGGCCGGGCCGGCGTCGCAGAGAAAGGGAGACGCTGCCGCCGGGATTCGAACCCGCGATGCAAAAACACTGTGTTCCTCAAATCGGCCGATCGCTCATCCCGCTGGCCTCAAACTCGAAAATGGAAGATGGCAGCACTGGGCAGAGAAAGGTCGCCGCATCATTCGGAACAATGAGGGGAAGTCGTCTGGTTTTTTTTCTGGACAGGCCAAACACACGCACTCTCTGAGGTGTACTCGCTCCCGATGACTGTAATGATGCATAATAAACAAGGACGCGCGAGTCTAGTGGATTGCAAGGCGGCGAGGGCGGGGCGGGGCGGGGGGGGGGGGGGGCGTAACGCCAGGGGCTGCGCTAGACGGCTAGACACAAAAGGTCGGTGTGGTGAGAATTACACACATACACACGTGCTGGCTACGGTGTGTGCATTGACGTGTGTGTGTTGGTGTGTGTTCACGCGGTGCTGCGGTGGGCCACGTGGTCCGCCTCACCGCCCTCACCGCAGGCACGCCGAGCCGCGCACGCGGACCGGAGCCCCTGCCGTGAGTCGGGGTGGGCCGGCCCGCCAGACACGCGTGCCCGCCGGGCTGCCTATCCCGCTCTCGCAGGCGCTCCGGCAGCGATCTTCCGCGCGTGGCGGCACGGCACACTGTATGCAGCAGGCTGATTCCGGGGAGTCGCTCTGTCTCTCTCGCACTGACCAGGGGTTCCCGTCAGGGTGCGAGAGAGACAGAGCGAGGGGAGCCTGCCCATCGTCGCCTTGCGCGTGCCGGTCTTATCCCCGATTCAATCGGCAGTGGATTTGGATTTAATCCGCCGCACGGAGGGCAGGTGCCATTTCCATTCATCGGGCAGGCCGCCCCGCCCCGCCCCGCCCCGCCGGCGCCGAGGGTTTCCCCTCGTTAAGATACCGATCGGCGACCACGTTTGAGCTGCCGAGTGAATTGTTCCCCAGATCACGAGATGTGGATTAGGCAGCGCTGATCCACGCGGCCCGGGCCTGGCGGGTCCTGGACTCGCAGTGCACCGTCGCTCCGTCTCTCTCGCACCTGTACCGGACGCCCTGCGAGTGCGAGAGAGACGGAGCGACGAAGGCACTACTCGGAATCCGCTTGCACCGGCCCAGGTGAAACTTGGTTTAAAAGGCTGCGGAAGGCGCGCGGCTCAGCGCTCTGCCTGCTGCCCCGGCCGCGCGCAGTTTTCCATCTGTCTTTGTCAAAGTTAAAACCCTTCCGCGAGGCTAGAAGGGCACCGGTACGTTGCATGACGAACACAAACCGATGCGCTCACATACGCGCGCACACTCTCAGTCTCTCTCTCTCTCTCTCTCTCTCTCTCTCTCTCTCTCTCTCTCTCTCTCTCTCTCTCTCTCCTCACACACACACACACACACACACAAACGCGCGGGCGAGCCTCGCAACGAGCTTCAGAGGTGTAATCTCATCCCCTGCATCGCACGTACGCGCCGCTCGGCTCCTATCCAATATCCCGGGTCACCGTAAAGAAATGCAAGCAGAGAGAGAGAGAGGGGGGGAGGGGGGGGGAGGGGGAAGCGAGATTCTCCGCTAAACCGGTATCGATTCCGATAACCATTGAATAACAGACAAGGCATCCATACTGCATCGCGCTGCATCGTGTGTGTCGTGACAGGCCAGGCACGCTCGCGGTCCCCCGGCATGCAGCCGGCATGCAACCGAGATGCAACCGCGGTGCAACCGGCATGCAATCGCAGTGCAACCTGCAAACCTCTCGAGCGGAACGCTGGGCCAAACCGGGCGATCGCAAATCGCAGTGCGAAGGTGCATCCAAAGAATTCGCAAACGGGAACCATTGGGGAGGTGACGGAAGGAAGACCCTGGCGGTAGAAAGTAGTAGAGGGAGAGAGGAAGGAAGAGAGAGACATCTCGTGCGTGATACGTGTGCATATATGACACTTACTCCGCCCCCTCACATGAGTACAGCACGCCGCAACGAATTGCAAAAAGAGGAAAAGGGGGGGGGGCTGGTGTAGCGGAGGCGAGAAGAGCATCTCCTGAGACGCCCCCGCCTACCGGAACGGGGACCGTGCGAGACGGAGACGGGTCGGAGACGGGCCGGCAGCGCACGGATTCCGAGAGTCGTTTTCGTCGCTCCGTCTCTCTCGCACCTTGACGGGACGTCCCGTGAGTGCGAGAGAGACGGAGCGACGACTCTCGGAATCGGTCTGCAGGTGCTCATTCACATTCACGTTCGTATGACTTTCGTTTCGCGCGACGCCTTATAGAGGAGGAAAAATCCGGCGGAGCGTCGCGTCATGTAATGACGGGGCCACAGTCTCGCTAGTCACTACACTGCAAATTTATTTTTAGCAGATGATGTTAAATCAGCTCCTTGCTGTTTGTGTTGCAGGGAGAATAAAGGCCAACGCCGCGCTGATCGTCACGCACAACATCCCGGCCACCAACGGGGTGGTGCACGCCATCGACACGCTGCTGTAGAGCCTCGTCCCTCTTCCCCTCATCGCGGACGCCTCGCACTGCAGCAGCCGTCGTCGCCAAAAGCCTCTTTCGTTGATCCCACCAACTCCCCCCTCCCCTCTGGGGACCATTCGCGTTGTGCGTGTGCAACGCGCAGTGTCTTGCAGTGGGCCAGAGTTCCAAAGTTTTCGCCTAAAAAAAAAAATGTATTGGGAAAAAAAAAACGACGACCACTGCAGTTTCTGACGTCTGCGCGCGAGGGCGAATAAACAGATCACCTGGCGGTTGTACGATACAAATGAAGAGAATTTCGAATTGATTTTAAGGCATTGTAATAAAGATTTTTTTTTTGTAGGAAAAATATTTATTTTTGCGTATTTGTTTAAAAAAAAAATTAAGGACATATTTGCCGTTTTTGAAATTCTGCTCCAAAAGTTGTGTGATAGAAATGACAAAATCCTAACTGATGTCCTGACCGAAAAGGACATTGGCAGTGTACTTACGGTACTGATCACATTAATTCCAATTTCCTGTAGAGAGGAAGCCTTGACTGAGTGTGCAAAAGAACACGTACGTTTATTGTTCCGACAGTATGAATGGGTAGAGTACGCATGTGTCTGTGTAATTTTGGTATGAATGAATGAGTGAATGTGAATCTTACATTTCTGTCTTTTTAATAGTATGTACTGTATAAAGTGTCGAGGATGTTGAAGTGCTCGATTGCCATTTTTCTTTAATTTACGCTAAGTTAAGTAGTACTCAACAAAATGATAACTACAGAAGTTTCCATGCGAACTGTCAATGTCAGTAGAGTCAAACTGTCTGAAGGGCTGTTCCTTGCGAACATCAATAAAAAGATTGTGAAATTACTTTATGAAGCCACGTACTGAAGTATCACATACTCAAGTACCAAGTGAGTTACCACATTACCGATTGTATGAACAGACTGGCTGGACTGGACCCTGCTGATGGAACCAATTTTGATATTTGCCATGATGTAGTCACTCTGTTTATTCCATGGGTCAGAAAACAAACATATGATTGTACGTGTACATTTAGTTTTATTCTAAGAAGTTCCTCTCCAGCTCAGCTTTACAGGGTGACTGCTTTGACCTACTCACGACGCTGTGTTCGCACTGTATTTATATAAAAATAAATATGTAATTTTTTAGACTTTTTTCTTGGTTTATTTTCCTTTTATTTCCTCACGGTGTTGTTGGCTGAGGCCAGCTCAACCTGTCTTTTCCCAACTCAGATAGCAGCCATACTTTTTTGAGGGCCCTTCTTTTGTTGCATGCATAGGGGCTGTTCCTGTGCCTAGACATGTCTCTGGATGAAGGATTAATTGAAATGCAGTTTCATACTCAGTAAAGTAGTTGTTTATTATATACTCATTATACGAAAGAAATCAGCCATTGAGAGCATTCTTGGAAACTTGCATTGATTGGCACGTTTACTATTATAAAACTTTCTCCAGCATTTCCATTTATACATGTTTGATTTTTCTTATTTAGTGATGCTGCTCATTGTCACAAATGATTATGCAGCAAATTCAGAGGGGGCTTCATGATCGTCTGTATAATTTAAGTCATTCAGCATCACATTATGCCCTTATGTGCTACAGAAGTTGAATCCAAAAATAAATCAAAGCACTGTCACTTACATAGCTAACTTATTATTACTGGTCAATTTTCTTAACACATGTTCCTGCACTCACACACACCCTCTTCATGGAACAAATTTATTTGGAAAGTAAACACCTTGAAGTGTGTAGATTACAGAAAACAAAATAAATATTTACTTCTGCTCATTTCTTACAAAGATGATGTACGTTTCTTTAGAGGGAAAGATTTTAATATTTCTTTAAATACAAAAGAGAAACTACTGTACTCCAATTAAGCCAAGCTCACATCTCAACTTATCCAGTACTGAATAGAGTAGGTGTATTCCTTTCATCCACTGGAGTTGATGCACTTGCAATCTCAACCTAAAGAGTGAGGTTGCAGTTGAAAAAAGTAGTGGTCAAAAGAATTACACAACTTCAGTCATCAAAATCATGCTAGAGTAGTAGTATGGTACACATAAGTATATACATAAAGCAGAAGGAAAGTAAGGTATTTTTTAAACAAATCACTGTCATACAAAAATAGATACAGTCTTGTTACTGTTGTGTAGAAATCTCTTCCAAATCATCTAAAATTAAATCGACAGAAATAATCAACCCCTTTTTGCAGCCAAAATTGGACAATGATGGTCACATAACCATAATGCACCTGAAAATTAAATTTCTAGTAAAGCCTATGTTAATGTTATAACAGTTCTTTCACAACCTACTATAATACAGTTTCCCATGAATTTTTTCTTTGAAAGCTTAAGATCAATCATTTTTAACTTACAAGAAAATGATAAAGTTTCTTCCACAAAATTTAAAATGAGATTATTCTTGTAAACAGTTATCTATTCAAAGATAGTAGACATGCTGAATTGCACGTATACACACTCATTCATACACACACATACTCTGTCTCTGTCTCTCCCCCACAGAAGGAAGTGACCAAGACAAATAAGAAGAGGAATGAAACTGAACTAAAAAGACATACTGGCGTAAACACACTTTTGCACACACAATAAAAGACAAAACCCTGCTTAAAAGCAAAATTTACGAATGTCATTTACAATAATATCACAAGGACAAATTTGTGAGAGTAGATAGCTTGTGAAACTGCTGATTGTAGGCGGGAATGAAACGAAAAGTTTAGTGTGATGACTTTGTGCTTCTTAGGCTGTCTTATAAGTACATTTTACATACGCAGAGTCTATGATAAAGAAGCATATGTGTTCATTCATTTAAAATACAATAATAAAGCAGTCTCAATAAATAACAATTCACTTTCCTATATTACAAAGTATACGGCACTCTTTTGAATCATACTTGCTAATATTCTCTATATGGGACATGCAAACATCAGTTATTGACATGCTAGGAACAAACAACACATATTAGGATAGATGTAGTGGCATCCACCAAAATAGGATACATCGATGCCAGTATTAAAAACACCATTCTGTTTGTGCATAGCAAGACAATACACAATGTCAGTCCCATTTTTATCACATATTAATTCAGCTTGATTCAGAATAAATAAGCTGCACTCTTACAAACACATATTCACAACCAAAATTTGAATTTGTAAGAATAACAGAACAAAACATCATTGATAAAATTTGATCGATGGACTCATATCTCTGAGATAATCACAAGTGAAGGAAATTAAAGTTTCAAAATCAAGTTGAGGTGTATTGACACCTAAATCAAATAAGGACTACCAGACTACTTTACAAATAATTTCTAAACTGAAATAATTGCATACCTCCACTTACAAACTGAAGAATAAATATAAATGCTTTTTAATCAAACTTATGCAAAACCCTGAATGATGTACATATCCTTTTGCGTTAAAGCAAACTGTTCAAAGTAGGCTCTGCTGGATTTTAAAAACAAAAATTATTACAGTTTAAAATATTTGTAAAACGTAATAGATGGCCACATAAAAATTAACATTGACATTTATATTGCACAAAATGCTTTGGAGTAAACTTTATGAAATGAAACAATAAATTAAACAATGATCTTTAAGAGTTTGTTCTGTGTTGACTTTTTCCTTACATTAACTAATAAACAGTTAACAATCTGCACTACAAACATAACAGAACAATCATCACTTCCATAACTTTTTATTAATTTCCTATTTGCACTTAGTCCTTCCATCAAGTAGCTTTTTCCACAAGTCAAACTGTTCATGGTATTTAACCATATGAATACTAATACCTTTCTGAATGTTGCATGCGTTAAATGCAACACGTTTATTGAGGAATTCATTCACATGCACTCTCTTAACATTGACCGAATGAGCAACAATACCTGTGGTGTATACATCTTCTAGCTTCAGGTACATTTGGTTTAATGCTGTAGTGTACAGGTCATGCACTACATCTTGCGACATGAGATATGCTGGACCAGTGGTGAAATCAGGGAAAACAACACGTTTGTACTGTTGAGGAGACACATAGTACTTGGATTTCTTGTTTCGAATAGGTTTCCACTTCTTTGCAAGTCTCCCAAAAATGGTTCGTTTAACATCAGCATGCTTTGTGATGAAAGCCATTAACTTATTTACATTAATAAACATATCGTCATCAGTTTTTAAGATGAATTTCACTTCGGAGCAGTAGTTGTCTACCCACTCCAATGTAGATATAGTCTTGAGTGTAAGATTGTTATATGAATCCACAAATCGTCCACGGATCAAGTCATTGTACATGGCTGACTCTGCTGCCAGGCTCTTCTCCATTTCTGGATTGTTTGTGGTACCTAATATAAATGCTATTGCAACATCACTTCGTTGTTGGAAATGGCCCCACGTTTGACGCACGGCCATTCTAGCTTCACGGTGACTAGGCGCTGAGGTCACAGCAATAAAAACCTGCAGACAAAATAGGTTGCGTAAAAATAGAGTGAATGTTAATTATGAGTACAGAGAAAGAGGAAGACAGGCTGCCTTACCTGCAGGTTTCTGCCCAGGTCCGGGCAGATCTCCAGGTTGGCTACATCATGGCCCGCCTCGTAGATGGACCGGGTCACGACCCCCTTGATGGTGGCGTCCAGGGTGGCGTTGCCGTCCTTGGCCGGGGGCGGGATCCGCTGGATGCTGCCGCCGCCGCCGCCACTGGGGGCGGGCGTGCTCAGGGTGGCGTTGGCGGCCGGGGGCGGCCTGGCCACCGGCTTGGACCCGGCCCCGGCCCCGGGGGCGACGGGGGGCGGCGCGGGGGTGACATTGCTGCCGCTGCTGCTGCTCGCGGCCGCGGGGGCGGCGGGGCCGGGGCCGCTGGGCGACGCGGCGCGCTGCGTGGCGGCGATGCCCGTGGCGCCGACGGGCAGCGCGTTGAAGCCGCCCACGCCGCCAAGGCCGTTGGCGAGGCTCACCGAGCCCACGCCCACGATGACGGCCCCCACCTCCTCCGCGATGGTGGACGCGTTCACGCCGCCCACCAGCAGCGAGCCGCCGAGCGGATCTGCAACGCCAACAGGAAGGCCGGGGTGTTTATCAGCATCGGGAGCAAGAGCAAGGGGACCGACGACGCCGCCGCGGCGATACCCCGCGCCTCAGAGCCCCTCCACGCCCTCCAGGGAGTCTCTGCGGCGCGGGGTAGGGCCGGCCCGGACACTTGTAGAGCAGTACAGACCATCCTGCAGCGCCTGCAGTGTGGCCGACGCGTTCCTGCCCAGCCTGCCCGTGAAGAGGTCCACCGTGCCCACCGACGTCTGCGATGAAGGCACTGTGGGGAAAGCAAAACCACAACTTAGAACCAGCTCCATTTTTCGAGAAATCGCGGGAAATATTTTTTTATGCAGGCTCTACTCACGCTGGGGCTGAGACGGGGGTGGCGGGGGCGCCCGCTGCGCAGCGGCCTGCTGGGGCAGCTGGGGCCCCGACGGCCCGGACGCGGTGGCGTAGTACGACGAGTACACCACCAGCGACAGGCACACCAACGCCAGCACCAGCGACTGCAGGACGCGCACGCGAACCGCCATCAGCTGCAACAACAACAACAACAAGGTTCAAAACAGACGAAAACAACAACAACCACCACTTTGTCCTCTGCCACAGCTAATAAGAGGCGGCCATTTCCATTGGGGATCACCACCACCACCAGGCTGATTGCGAATAGTGTTTTCGTCACTGTGCCTCTAGGGTGCGACAGAGACGGACAGCAGACGACGCCTACCACACCACCCGGAGCGAGAGCGAGGACCCTGCCAGTGTGGGGTCCGGTCGCCAATGCCGCCGCTCCGCCCAGTCCAGTCCACCAGCCAGCCCAGACCGACGCCAACCGGAGAAATGGGGATTGATTGACGCTGCAGACTGATTCCGAGAGTCGTTTCCGCCGCCGTCTCTCTCGCGCTCATGGGGCGCCCCGTGTAGGTGCGAGAGGGACGGCGCGACGAAAACGACTGTCGGAATCAGTGTGCTGGCCGCGCTGCGACCGCCTCGACCAGCCTCGACGCGCCGTCTGGGTCTGGCTGGGCTGCGTTCCGTTTGTCCGTCCCACACGGTCGCCACCGCACCGCCGCACCAACGCGCCGCGCGGGATCCGGGCTCAAGGGGTGTTTACCGAACTGCTGCAGGAAAGGGGGAGGGGTGGGGGACGTCACGTCTTTCAGCCGGAACTTTATTTGTTTCGAGCGAACGGTGGTGGGGGGTGGGGCGCGGGGGGCTCGCTCGTGAGAGGCGTCCCAAGTCACTGCCGCCGTCCCCATCCCCTTGATAGAAAATTAGGGAAACGGCGCGGCCTTTTCTACGAAAAAAAATAAATTAAGTCTCCTTTTCTTTTTTGGAAACTTTTCCCCCTTGCAGCATGGTAATGGTGGCAGCGGCCGAGCAAAGGCAGCCTTTTCCTCGATTCCTTTTTGGCAGTGGCGAAAGGCAGGATGGGCAATCAGTGGGCTTTGGCTGGGCAGAGCGGCAAAGGCCCCTCTGTCATTCGATTAACCGGCGGCACGGCGGCAGGCAGGACGGCGGGGCCAAAGTGGTAAATTCATTAATCCCTACCGGCCGCGCCACGCGGAGAAAAAGGGGGGGATCAGATGGCGGCGTCAAGAGGGCGCAGCTGTTGGTGCTCGGGACGCTGCCGGAGGCCGAGAGACAGATGAGCAGATGGGGCGCGGCGGGGGCGGCCCGGCTATTAGAAGAGTCTCGCCTCCGAGTTTTCGCTTTTTTGTTTAAAAAGGCGGCATTATTTTTTTTCGGAAGTTTTGCCACTTGACAGGCGGACAGCGCATTCCTCATGTTTGGCGACGACGCAAAAATGCCAGCCCGAGTTGCAGCAACTCACTAGCAGGACTCCGGTGCTGCCGAGTCGCCAGACTTGCCCCCCTCCCCCCACCCCTTCCGCCTCCACCCCCAGGGACCCCAGGGGGAGGGGGGGCGCGTCCCGTGAATTCCAAGGGGTCGGGAATCAGAAGAGTTGAGTTATGCTAACGTGTGGCTTTGGGGGCGTCCGCTGCGTGGGGGTTGATGCAGTGGGAGAGAGAGAGAGAGAGAGAGAGAGAGACAGAGAGAGAGGGTTGAGGGCTCGATGACTAATGAGCTCGCCCCGGCGGCGAAGGCGCACCACCACGCCGGGGCACGGCGGGCACGGCGGGCAGCAGCAACAACTAGCACAACAACAAGTCCGTCTTGTCGGGGCCGCCGCGGAGCTTGTCCGCGCACTCGCCGCGCCCAGCGGCCCTCTCTCTCGCACACCAACGGGCGGCCGCGTGGGTGCGAGCGAGAGGGGCCCAGCGCGTAGATTGATAGGCGTGGGAGGGCGAGCTCAAAAGGCTGGAACAGAATGGCCGCCGACGGGCCGGGGCCGGCCGGCCCAGTGGCCCGGCCCCAGCCTTTGTCGGACGGCTTCGGTTCGTGAAATGCCACAGAACAGAAAGGGGTGGGTCGACCGCCTTGCACACTCACACACACACACAGTCAGTCTCTCTCTCTTTCGCACACACGACACGCGAGAGGGCGCGCGTGTGTACGGTTACACGCCACACAGGGCACGGCCGCCATACAACGCGGCCGGCCGACAGCGCCAAAAGTTGTGCCAATAAATAGCAGCGGTTCCAATTATTTACTGCAGAATTCGCCGTCCGGCCGCGGGGGTGGCGGTGGCATAGCCGACTCAGCCGGACTCACCCCAACGATGGCCGGAGCAAAAGGTGGACCTTTTTTTTGGAAAGGAAAAAGAGGGTTGCCCCGCCACTGGTGCACGCGGGCCGCGGCCGGAAAGCAAAACTCAGCGAGGCCCCCTCCCCCCTCCCCCCACGGTAATGCCATCCCCGTGTTCGGTGTTCTGCATACGGAGTGGCCGTGACGTGCCCCGCCCCGCCCCGCCGCGCACGTACACATGTGGCCTGGTGCTTCGTGCGGGCTCCAGGCGCTCCAGGCCCTCCTCCAGGCCGTCTCGTCTTATTGCCGGCCCGGGCGGGGCCGCGGGGCCGCGGGGCCGCGGGGCCTCCCTTCCGCTAAGATAACACCGGGAGCACAACACCAACAAAGCACGCCTCTCCTTCCCTCTCTTTCGCACGCCGCCAGCCACCGGTGCAGCGCACAGTGGGCCAGAAGACCGGCGGAGGCGGACAAAACCCTGGACGCGTCTTGAGGTCCAGAGTCGCCAAATGGGACTCGTACCGAACGTGTGACCCCACCAATGGATTGGTCTCCGAACGAGGAATCCATTGGTGGGGTCACACGGTCGGTTCGAGTCCCATTTAGCGACTCTGGAGCTCAAAGAGCGTCTGGAGTTTTGTCCGCCTCCGCTGGTCTTCTGGCCCACTGTGCGGCCGCGCGATACGAGCCGCTAAACGGCGCGGTGGAAAAACAGAAACGCCTTTACGGGGAGTGCTCGATTCGGGTCGCGGAGAGAAAATAGAGGCAGGGCAAATAAACGGAGGAGGGCAGCTGGGCGGCTTCGCTTCGCTGGACTGGCTGGAGTGGGGGTCGTCCTCTCGGCCGCCCGATCCAAAATCGAATGCCAAGTGACCTCCACAAGATCAACTTCCATCCGTCGTCGTGCTGAGGAGGGTTTTGGCCGTCCACCGCCCTCTTCGGCGGGCCCGCGTCCGTCAGCGAGGCCGTCCCAGTCTGCTATTGTTAAAAACTTTTGTTTTATCGAGTCATGTTTCAGTCTCACTGTTTCGCTGTCAAAGACCGAGACGTCCTTGCGAGGGCGCGAGCTGCTCGCCGTTCGGACATTCCATCGGTCCCAGGCAGACTCGGACAAAGCACGGCGCCATCGCCGCCCCATCGCTCCTGTCTCGGCCGGACGTCCCGTAGTGTCCGACCGACCTGCGGACCCTCGCCAGAGCGAGGACTGGGACCGGGAGTCTCCGTCGCTCTGTCTCTCTCGCACTCACGGGGCGTCCCGTTCAGGTGCGAGAGAGACAGAGCGACGAAAACGAAATCGCCGTGGCCCGCGGTGGCCTGCGAGACTTTCGCCGTGGCCCGCGGTGGCCTGCGAGACTTTCGCCGTGGCCCGCCAGCGAAACCAACAACGAAACCGGACGGAAAAAGGGAAAAAGTACCCCTGCGCCCTGCGTGCGGAGTGCGCTCCGGTTGCCCTTCCTCCGGGGTCAGTGTCGTGCACCAATTACTCCAGAAGGGAGCAGCCCCCCGGAAGCGGGCGCTACAGTGGCGAAAAAAGTACGCAACATGTCTGGTCCATTATCTACCAGGGACGGTCCGTACCTTTCCAGCAGCGACGGAGGCTCGTGAGAGCCTCACGGGGACCGCGCAGAGAACCAGTAGTCCGTACTTTTGGCGTACCCCATTTTCTGTACATTTTCCGTCCGGATGTTTTTTTTTTACAGTGAAGGCAGCACAGCGTTCCGCGACCCTGGTTATCCAGCTCCAGACGCGGTGCACGGCCGGACGGACATTCATGGAGCCTGGCTGCTGGGCGGATGGAGGGATGGGGGTGGGGGGTGGAGATGGAGCAGGTGGAACGTATGCTCTTTGAAGTCCACGAGGCGTGCGGGGGCAGAGCCGCCAGAGCTGCGGGCGCACTGTAGTAGTCGTAGTTGAGAGCTCCAAGTTTTTGCTGTTGTTTTTGTTGTTTTCGCCTTCTTGTGCGCGCCGTTCGGGCCGCGGGTGGGCGTGGCGGGGCGAGCGCCGGCGAGGTAGGCAACTCCCCGGTCGGCGCGGCACGGCCGCGCGGGGGGCTGCCTACCCACGACTTCACAGGCGCTTTTCAGAGCGCGAGGTCGCTCTCGCAGCGGGGCGCTTGGCGCCTGGCTCTTGGCGCTTCGAGAGAAAACTGCCGTTGGGCGAGGCGTGAGCGGTGTGGGCGCACGGCGGGACGCCCCACTGTGGGGGCCTCGGCCTCGCACTCCTTGTTCTCCTCGCGGGTGTGGCTCCACCGGTCCGCCGCGCCGCAGTCGAGTCCTCAACCTCAACGCTTTTTTGGGGGTAGCATTAAACTTGGAAGCGAATTATTCGCGTCTGGCGCTCCTCCTCCTCGTTGCTGCTGGCTGGCCCGATGGGCTGGCCGAATGGGCTGGCCCGATGGGCTGGCCCTTTCGATGCCCCAGTGCGTCATCACGGAGGCTGGCGGCCCGCTTGGCGGGGACGAGCGAGCGGGCCCGCGCGGGGGGGGGGGGGGGCGTAAACTATAATTAATTTTGGCCGCCGAGGACCTTGTTATTAATCATAGTTCCGCGGGGGCGGGGCGGGGCGGGCGCCACTCGGCCGTCATGCCCACGTAATGGCTGGACTTGACATTGTGTCGGTCGGAAGGCCGCAGCGACAACAACAACAAACAATTCGTGTCGGACAACAAAAACACACTCATTACAATTCTTCCAGACGGCGCGCGCGCGGGGGCGGCGCTGCTGCCACCACCCTTTCCATTTTTCCTCTTTTCTCTCTCTCTGTCTCTCTCTCTCTCTCTCTCTCTCTCTCTCCCTCTCTGGCGGCCACACAAAAGGCCGTAATATTGCTGAAAGGCGTGCAGACCGGCCGACACGGCCGCACCCAAACATACGCCGTGCATTCGGCTTTCAGGGAGTCGAGCCCTGCAGCGGCAGGCAACCCGTCCCGCACTTCAAACGGAGAGAGAGAGAGAGAGAGAGAGGCTTTGCGAGGGTGAGGCGGCTAAGACGTCGGGACCGAATTATCAACACGCCAGTGCCCCTCTTGATGAGATCGCGTGTCCCAGAGGCCCGAAATCGGCAAAATCAAAAAGGAAAACAAGGGGCGTCTCATCATGGCGCCGCGTCCCGGAAAAGGCGCGAACTAAGTTTCGCGGAAACTAGTTTCAAAGCGTCGCACGCAACCAACTGGTGAGGGCGAAATCACATTCACGCACACAGTCTCACTCTCTCTCTCTCACACACACACACACACACACTTTCTCGCACACCGCGTGGTCCTGAGCACCACCGGCGCCGCCCCAGTGCGTTAACGTCATCAACATCAACATCGTCAACAAAGACGCGGCGTCGACGAGGACGCTATCTTTGCTACTCACCCTTCCTCCTGGAGAGCCTCTCGTTGGTGTGGGGATGGAGGGAGCCTCCGTGGGACGGCCGCTAACACATGACAACCCCTGCAACAGGTGGCGAAAGGCAAAGCATTAGAAAGGTGCACTCCGCGCACACACACACACACACACTTGCACGGAATTGCGGTCGTGTTGCCGGTGACGACGAATAAGGGACGTTGGGGTCGCGTCGGGAAGGGAGGGGGGGGGGGGTGACGCGGGACGGGCGGCGCGTCAAACGCACGGCGGCGGGCTGGCGCGGCCTGGTGCTCGGGGCTGGTGACGGGGATAAATGGATTTCGGAGCAGCCAGGCAGAGCAGCCAGCCAGACTAGTTTAGCGCCGCGCGCCGCCGTCTTCCAGTGCCTTGACGCCGGGAAGGGCCGAGGGGGGGGGGGGGGCACAGCGCCGAGTCCACCCTCCAGACCGAATTTGCATGTGTGTGTGTGTTTCGCGCACTCACACACACGCGCGCGCTCTGCACGGGCAGAAAATTGGGCCCCGGGTAGTCTGGCCCGTCTGGGCCGGGCTGGAGGAACAAGCACTCCGTGTGCATGCAGGCGGCAGGGCGGCCGGCCGGGCGAGGACGAGACACAAGGAGACAAAAAGATTGGCAAAAAGAGAAGTACCGGCATGGTCAGCGCGAGGGGGGAGAGAGAGAGAGACCGGCGCGGTTCACCCACACTGTGGCAATCTGCCTGTATCTCTGGTCCACCATCGCATCGCCGTGGGTGGGTCGCCCCCCTACGGCGCGCCCCGCCGGGCCCCCCGCGACGGCCCTGCCACACCAACTGTCTCTCCTTACCCAGGTAGTACGGCTCCTGTGTCATCTCGCCGGTGCGTCTCTCTCGCACCCGCCCCGCCTTGCCCCGCGAGCGCGCGAGAGAGACAGAGATCACAGCGGCCCTCAAAGGGCCGCGCGTACAGTGTGTGTACACAGCGAGGGCAGCCCGCCGTTCGCATTCAGCCGATCGCGACCCATTCAGGCATTCGTCTCTCTCTGTCGCGCGAAGCGGGTCGGCTCCACTGTTTGCAAAGTTGAAAACTCAGTGCGGGCAACTGCCCCGCAGCGCCGCGCCGCCACTGCGAGTTTCACACAAAGACATCCGCAGCGGTCGTCAACGTGCTCGCCTACACTGTACACCGTGCACGCCGTACATTGTACATTCCGCATTCTGTTTTCACAACCCTGTTTACCGCCCGCGAGCGCGCGCGCAAAAGAGACCAAAATAAACGTCTCTCTCTCTGTTTCACTCGCGGAAAAATTGACACGTGAGCGTCACAGGAAACAAGTTAATTAGGTCAGTTTGCTGAGAGCAGCGCCCGGTCCACTGCGATGCGCGGTACGCTCTGTCTCACTCGCACTCACGGGGCGTCCCGTAGGGGTGCGAGAGAGACAGCGCGACGAAGCGCCCCTCCATTCTCCATGACCGCATTGAACCTACCGCTGCAGCAGCACCAGTGCGAAACGCTAATGAAAGCCGCGACGGCGGTAGTGCGAGCGAGAGGGGGTAGTTTGGAACTGGCGGGTCGCAGTTCAACAGAGAGAGACGCAGAGCGTCGCGGCGCCGCGGCCAAGATGGGGCACCGTTAATAGTGCAGGCACCTTCTTATTAATGCAGCGACAAGGACGCACAGCGCCACTCGCACACGGGGTGAGTGTGTGTGAGTGAGGGCGAGTGTGTGTGCGCGCGCGTGTGTGTGCAACCTATCCGATTCCCGGTCAGTGCGGTGGCGGAGTCGGGTTTCGGCCCGGCCTGCGGTTACCTGCCAGTCCTGCCACTACACTACCTGCCAACAGCGGCCCCAGTGTTCCACAGTGCTGCCGCAAGGGCGTCCTCCGCCGTTGGTGGTACACTGCGCGCTCGCCCCGCGAAACCAAAACACGGCACGGAGTGCAGCGCCTCCGCCAGGAACGACAACGCGACCATCAAACCCCGACACACTGCGAAGCGAAAAACGGGACGGAATCGAATAAAAACGAATCGCGCGCGCAAGCAGCCATGAAACTCTCGCGGCGGCTGCGACTGACACTGCCACCCCGTAATCCCAATGACGGAGAAAGGGGGGGGGGGCAGCGCGAGGCGAGGCTAAGCTCTTCCCAGACTTCGCGCCGCCCCGCGTCTGCCGTGCCGTGATATGAAACAACATCGCGGCGAGGCGGCGCGGCGCGTCGGCCCGGAAGCAGCCGAAGCAGCCGGCAAACCATCATCGCCTTGCCAGCGAGTCTGCGAGAGCGAGCGAGACGGAGGCTGACAGGAGGCGCGCGGAGTGCGAGAGAGAGAAAAGGACACACACACATCAGCCCCGTCGTTTTCCGCTGAAACGCGCAGGGCGCGCGAGCAACTAACTGCTCAGAGACGACGTGTGCTTTCCGTCGAACTTGGGCCAGGGCGGGGCGGGGCGGGGGTGGGGCGGGGCGGGGCGGGGTGGGCTGGGGTGGGGCGGGGCGGGGCTGGTGGCGAAGGGGAGGGAGGATCTTTCTCGAGTCCACGCCGTCTTGCCGTCTCGCTGCTCCGCTGCTTCGCTCTCCGCGGCCTCAGCCTCTGCCCGCCAAATGCTCCAATCAGCGCCATTCTTCTGTCCGACAGGGGCGGGGCGGGGCGGGGCGGGGCGGCGAGGCGGAGCAAGCTCCACAGAAACAAGTTAGCCCCAACTGCGGCCGTTCCACACACTCGGCCCTCCTCGAGGACAGCCTCTCTCTCTCTCCCACCATTTCGCCACGACCCATGGCGACGTCACAGCACACTGACTCCGAGAGTCGTTTTCGTCGCGAAGTCTCTCTCGCTCGAATGCGGGACGCCCCACGAGCGCAAGAGAGACAGAGCGACGAAGACGACGGTCACCGCCGCGGCCCGGCCCCGCACACCGCAAGCTAAGCCCTCGCTTTCAGGCCACAGCGTAAGAAGGAACAAACCACGGCGTATTACTTGGCAAACAAAATCCTAAAAAACATAAACAAAGTTTTTTGAGGACGCCGGCAAATCAGCGCAGAGAATGCAGCGAGGCGGCACTCCGGCACTCACTCACGCCTCTGCAACTTGCACACAGCACTGGAATGCAATTAGTTGGGGGACTGGCCGCATCCTGGGAGGGGGCGCCGCCGCGCTGCTGTCTCGTCCCATTACCGCCCTCGAGATGGGTCCTGAGGTGAGGTGCTTGGCAGTGGCGTGGCGTGGCGGGGCGGGGCGTGGCGGGGCGGGCGGCCTCCCCACAGGGACTCGGAAAGGCAAAGGGCACTGGAGGCACTCAGCAACACCGAGTCCTTTCCCTCCCCGGCGCCCCGGCGGGGCCCGAACCCCTGCGGGGCCCCCTGTGGGGCCCAGGCACGGGGGCAGGCGTATGGGCCTAATCGCAAGGAAATGTCCCTCAACGCGTTAAATTAAGCGGTAATTGCTCGTTTGCACGGCAGAGTGCGCTGCGCTCGGAGCGCCTCAGAGCCTCGCAGAGCATGACGGGTAAAAGCCCAGCCAGGTGCGGCCTGCGGGCCTGCGGGCCTGCGCAGCCTGCACACGTGAGGCTGCTACACTACAATGCGGCAATGCGGGCGAAAGAGGGACGGAGAGACCCGTCGGGGGACAGCTGGGGTGGACGCAGCGCGTTCACACCGCTGACAAGCACGCCACTTTCGGCGACTGTCCGCCGAAACGTTTTCCGCGACATTTTCATGACGGGGAAAGTTGTCGGAAACATGTGTACTGCACTGCCAACTTTGCACCAAGTAACTACCTACACTGTATTTAGCCCGGAAGTGTTCTGTGGGAGGGAGAGGGGGAGAGAGGCGTGATGGTGCTTGGCACGCGCGCGACGGGGACGCCCCCGCACGCTCCAGATTTCCTGCACCATTTCTATACGGGGGAAATTGCCACTGAAAAGCACAAGTCGCGCAGGCAGCCATGCGAGGGGAGGGGGGAGGTCCGGACAGACGGACAGACCAAAGTTTAGAACGCGACAACGGGACGGCCTCCATGGCCCCACACCACGGCCTGGCAGAACATTACACACTCGGTGCGAGAGTCGGGTCTGCGGTCGGGGCCCTCAACCTTCAGGGCCTTCAGAGCCGCCTGCAGGGCTGTCCGACAAGATTAGGGGGACATACTCCACTTATCGCGAACCGACACTGCGGGGCGCGGTGGGGCGCGGCGGGGCCCTCCCCGGGGCCCACACTGGAGCCCCCGGCCGCGCCTGCAGCGCCAACCACCCCGAGTGCGAAAGGCCTTCGTCAAGATATTATCAAGTCAAATGTGTGCCGGCGGAAATAATTACACGGGAATCCCAGCCCCCCCCCCCCCTTTTGGCGCCCCCTTCACCTCTGACGCCCACCCGCCCCATATCGCGTACACGGGATAACTTCGCCCTCAGTAGTTATATCCAATCTACATACACAGCGCACGCGCGCGCCCTACGCCACTACACTGTTATAAATTTCCATTTGCGGGGTAACTTTCCCTCCGCGCGCCAGATATCCTTGCCGGGGCACTATATCCTCGCGCAGACTATGCAAGCGCCGGCAGCCAGCAGCTCGCAGAAAAATAAAATTACCGCCCGCATAATTTAGTTTCCGTTTTCCAGTGGCGTTAGCCAGCCAGCCAGCCAGGCAGGCAGGAGGAGGAGCAGAGAGCAGGGGGTTGAAAGGGAGCGGCGTGCCACGGCGAGCCACGGCGTGCCAGCAGGGAGGCTGAGGCAGCTCAGCCCCGGCCGCTCTAGTCGAGCTAGTCAAGCTCGAAAGGCACCTATCTGCGCCGCGCTAATCACAAGACCAGCATCCCGGCTCCCCTGAGGGCTGACTACGAGCCGAGCGTCGCTCTGTCTCTCTCGCACCCACACGGGACGGCCCGCGAGTGCGAGAGAGACAGAGGGCCTGCGGCTGGGAAGCAGTCCGTAGGGGCCCCCCGATCGACCTCGTCCGTCAATGGGCGTCTGGACGGGCATCCACTGCCGAGGAACGACCAGGCCGCCCGTTTCGTCACTGTAAAACTCTCGTTAGACTTTTTAACAGTGCCCTCCGGGACGAAACAAGTCCGGTGAGATATCCCGCACTCTATACGCAAATACACTCGTTGTCCTGTAACGACTCCACCCGCGAGTTGGCGATCGGCTCCCCGGAAACGATCCACGGTTCCGACTCGGCTTCCCCCCGGACTGATTCCGTCTCTCTCGCACTCACGGGGCGCCCCGTGAGTGCGAGAGAGACAGACCGACTTGCCGAAGTCCTGCGCGCTTCCTTCGCAATGCGGGCTGCCTGCGCGAAACCACGGGCCAGGGATTTGCTGCCAGCGCGGCGCGGGGATAGGCCCACTTCAACCCTCCGTCTCGCTCGCACCTTCGCAGCTCCGCGTGGAGGTGAGACGGAGCGACCGGGAGACTCTTCGAGTCGCCGGCAGCGCGGAATTCAATTCGAGTTAATGGCGCCATTTTTCACGTGTCGGCTACCAAATGAGCGCGCAATTTTTCACAGGCAGACCAATACCGTCGCCCGGCCCGGCGTCCGGGATTGACGCAGTGGAACGAGACGCGTTGATAAATACGAGCCGAGGCGATCGAAGCTGCCGGGAAGAATGACCCGTCATTTCCATGTTTGTTTGTGACGGCAGAAATCTGCAAAAACCAAAGGCCTAGCCCCGTGGCTCGGCACCGCAGGCTTTCTGAGAGCTGCAGTTTCTCTCGCACCCCCGCGGCCCGAGACCGGGAGTGAGAGAGAGACGGAGCTACGCGTTCAGAATCTCCACCTTGATATAGATTTGTCGAAAGCGTGTTTCGACGCCATCCATCTTGGCAGTGGCGTGGCCTCGCCGGCCTCGCCTCCAAAAATCCACGACTTGGGCACTTCGCCTCCTGGGCCTTCCACACGTGCGGACAAGAGGAGTTATTGCGAAAAAAAAATTAATATTTAAAAACATTTTTTAATACATTTTTTTTTATTAAGTGCCCTAGCACTGCACCGGTCGTCGGACCGGGGCGAGGGCCTCGCACCACGGCTTTGCAAATCAAATCGCCCAGTAGTAAAGCCACAACGATATTCCAAAGAAACACACCCCGCCGAGGGACACTCTCTCTCTCTCTCTCTCTCTCTCTCTCTCTCTCTCTCTCTCTCTCTCTCTCTCTCTCTCTCTCTCTCTCTGCGGCAGGGACCGCGGCCAAGACTTTGGCGCCGGGACTCACCAAGTTGACGATTGCATTGGGCACGCAGCGTGGTGGCGATCCTGGAAGAAAGAAAACGAGGTTACTCCACTGGAATACGAAGCCAAGACAGCGCGGATAAATATGAAACAAGACGCCCAGCCCAGAAAAGAAAACACGAAAAAGAAAAAAATCCCTCTTGTATTTACTCCCGCTTGTCCTAAAAGCACAAAGTCGGCGAATTATCCCTGTCCGTCATCGTCGGCCGGTTATTTTAAAAAGGGAGCGCGCGAAACACGGCCGAGGGAAGTCCTTTATGTTGACACAAGAGAAAAGAAAGCCCTCTAATTCGTCGGCGAGTCCGGCGGGCGGCAACGGGAAAATCTTTTCCCCGGAGCTCATTCCGCGAGAAAAGCCGCGATGAAAAGCACGGGAAATGCCAATTACAGTTCGGCCACTGCTAAATTAATTCGGGCGCGAGGTGTAAGGCACCCCCCTACCCCCTCCCCTTTCCACCTGCAGCGGTGCCGCCAATCAAAGCGCCAATCAGCGCCGGGCGGACTCATTAAAAACCAAACTTCATAAACCGATCGACGGGGGGGAAACGAACAAGACCGCCTCTTCGCGGTGACCGCAGCACCATCACTGTGAAAAAACTTGTTAACACTTTGTAACAACAATCGTAGACGAAATTTTTCGCACCTTAAAAACGACGAAGGTTTCGTAACGAAAATGCAAAACACAGCGCCTTCACTCCTATCTAAATGCATGGGGAAAATTAACTTCCAGCGTAGTTGTACGCTTGAAGCAGGTCTCCAGACGTAGTTGCAAGATTGAATGAGGCGTACGACAACTCCGCTTTATTTTTACCAGTGAATCACCCAACTCGCGGTCCAAGTTTTAAACGCGCGCCCCGCGGACGGCGAGGCGAGGCAGGCCTAGCAGTCGAGGCCAAGGTGTCCGCCGCCCAATTTAGGGCCGTATTTGCCGCCGAAGTAGGTGGCGAGGAGTTACGGCAGTTAAGGGACGCGCAATTATGATAAACGCGTCGCAGAAGTTGGCGCGGCGGGGAGGGGGGAGGGAGGGGGAGAGAGAGAGAGAGAGAGAGAGAGAGAGAGAGAGAGAGAGAGAGAGAGAGAGAGAGAGAGAGAGAGAGAGAGAGAGAGAGAGAGAGAGAGCGACGCGCCTGCAACAACCCCCTCCCCCTCCCCGCCGCCTAGCCGCCTATTATCGGCCACACCTGCGACCTCAACGACACCGAAGCCCACAATCCGGAGCAGCAGCTGTCTCTCTCCGCTAGACGGGCGTCGCCGTCTTCTCTCTCAGAGCGACGGGACGACTTGGTGGTGAGACAGGCTCGGACAGACGCAGCGGCGCCGCTGGCTGGTCTGCGCGAGCTCTGCTCCTCCACCATTCAGACCGCCATCATCTTGCTGCTGTGAAAAGGTAGCCCCTAAACCTCTCCCCACCCCAACCCCCGGGATCATAATCCGAGTCCACCACAAACACGGGCGGGCCGCGTTGTTGTAGTGTAGGCCCGGCGCGTCTTGCGTCCCTCGGCCTGTCCGTGCCTCGGCCGTGCTTCAGCCGTGCTTGTTTAGCCGCGCTTTAGCCGCGCTTTGGCCGGGCTTGCGGCTCAATCCGCCGCAATCCACATCGACCCGGAGCCTTCCATGTGGAAACTTGCAGTGCACTCCACACAGCCGGGCGGGGACGGAGGGGAGGAAGCGGTAGGGGTGGGTTTAGGTTAGCGCAGTACGGAAGCAAAAGGACGAAAAAAAAGTTACGTAAAAATACCATATTTCGACAAATAAAGTTAGTTTTGAAGACAATATTAGAATTAAAACAGACGGTAAGTCAGAAAAAAATGTTTGGTAGTGAGCCACAGGCTTACAAAAATTTTTCTTCTCATTCGTTGCGCCAACTATCCCCCCGGACAACACGGGGTCACATTTTTCCCCCGCTAGCCATATTACCTGGCGCCTGATGACACGGAATTGGTCCGATTCATCACTTAAGACTACGGGCCGGCTGGGGCAATCTCACTCCGGGGTGGCAGCCCCAAATGAAATGCCAGCCCCGCCGAGCCCGCGCCCCGAGGGGGGAGGGGGAGGGGGATGGGGTTGGCTCGGTGCGGCCCTACATTACAATGCCTTTCGGATTGAAGACGGGACACTTGGGGACACCTGTTCCAGGTAAAGGTGCGGCCTGGGAGAGGGTGCCTTGCAGGGGCAATAATTTCCCAGGGTGAGGGATGGCCTCCCCGTCCCCGAGAGGGAGAGAGAGAGAGAGAGAGAGAGAGTCTGATAACGGCCGCGTCTCTCCAGCAGCGCACAGCGTTGCCCAGTTCCAGCGGATGATACTGCATTTTTACGGCGCTAAGGTACCATCTGTACCATCTGTCATCTGTTAAAAACGGGAAAAGCCTGACAGGGCAACGAGGGAAATTTCCCGCAATTCGCATGGATTTCGACACTCGAATCCTCGCCTGTGTTGCACAACATAACGGAGTTAGCGGAATGCGCGGCAGCCTCAACCCCTCATCATTTCGCACGCGCACACGCACACACACACAGTGCAGCGTTCTCTCTCGCCCTCATTAAGGGTGGGACCTGGCAGCCGCAAGCGTGCGCTGGCGTGCGTAAGCGTGTTCAGAACATAGGCCAGCGAGCCCCACCCGCGGCAGGCAGTGGCACGCAGCGCCCCCGCAGCCCCGGGCCCCGCCAGGCCCCGCCAGGCCTCTCCGTGAGCCGAATTCCAAGCCACTCCGTTGGCGCTCGGCTCCAGTCCGCTCCAGTCGCCGCCAGAGGGCTGCTTTCCGTCTTTTCGTGCACTAGCCGGGCCCCGGAGTGGGTCCCCCCTCTCCCTCGCACCCCCTGGACATACGCGACCCTTTTTTCTCGCTCCCTCTCGGTAAGGGAAAGAGGGAACGAAAGCAGACAAAGGCCGAACCAACTCTTGCTCTTCACCTGCGACGGACAGAGAAACGCTTTCGACCACATCCCTCGGCAGGCTTGCGGTGTAGGAGAACTCCGGCAAAGTACACAGCCGCGCAGAGCAACAGCGAAGCGGCCGAGCCTGTCGATACCCCGGCCAGGATAACAGCCGCAGGACCGGGATTAGCTTGCCGGGTCAGCTTGCCGGCCTGGCGATACTCCACGCGCGGAGTCCTGTTTAGCCACTCTGGAGCTCAAAACACGACCAGAGTTTTCTGCCTTACAGTGCCACGGCCTACAGGCAGGCTAGAGAGTGCCTCGCGCATGGAGTAGCGCCGACGTGGTGACGTAGTGCGCGCCCGTGAGGGCCTAGTGGGCCTGCACGGGGAGGCCTGCTCACTTATAAGCATATCAAAGCCCTCCCTTTTTCACTCCGCGGGAGTTCGACGAGCGGGGCTATAAAAAGGCCTTCGTTGGGCCCACACACGACGAGAAAAGAATCCCCCAAAGGGCGGAGGGGTGGCGCTGGTGAGAAGAAAAAGCAAAAAGGAGAGAGAAAAACACACAGAGGGGGCGGTTCGACTAGGGGGTTCTAGCCGGGACGAACGCGGAGCCGGTGGAGTTTCAAGGGTTTTGCATGCAAAAACGAGAACCACGTGCCGATGACAAATGCATCGGGCTTTCAGGTAAGCTCCCCGCCGATTCCACCGACCAGAAAAAAATCTGGGAAATCCAGGCTTCCTGTAATCCTACCCCACGCTCGATCTCCATTGACGCAGTATATCCACGCTAAGGGGCTCCATGCAGGGCTCGCCCTGGTAAATGACCCACTGGCAAATGACCCCACATGAATCCCTGCCCCTTTGGCTGTGCCCCAGGCGGCCCCGTGGGGGGGGGGGCTGACAAATTCACTCACCTGTCTTGGCAGCACGGCGCCCCCGCAGAGACACCTCTCTCCTCTCTCTCTCTCTCTCTCTCTCTCTCTCTCTCTCTCTCTCTCTCTCTCTCTCTCTCTCTCTCTCTCACCGTCGCACACGGGCCCGCATTCCTGAGGGCACTTTGGGGGGCAGGTTAGTGGTCGCGGTCGCAAAGCCGCTGAGAAATTTATCGGTTTGCCGGGGAGCCCCCCCCCCCCCCCCGTCCGGCAGTCCCAGCCCTCCTTCATCGAAGTGTGCGGAGCAGAGACTCGTTTCCAGGGTTTAACCGTCTGCGAAGTGAAACACCGCCGGGGGGGGGGGGGGGGGGGGGGGCGTGACCACTAACGCAGCGCGCCTCCCTTTAAGAATGCAAATACAACACCGCACTTCTGGGGGAGGCGCCAGCCCGGCCGGACGTTTAAAAATGCATTTCACACGCGGCAGGGAAAAAAAAGAAGGGAATAAATGGAGAATGAGTTCCACTGATGAAGTGCGGGGCGGCTGGCATAACCACGTGCCGTCATCGCCGCAACAGATTCCCGCCATTTTCCTCCTCAAAGCGCTACATCACGAGCAAAGCCGAAAAAAGAGAGGCAAGACAAACAACGTCAAAATAAATAAATAAATAACGACAGCGAGCCGAGCGAGGCATCCTAAGCGCGCGCGGCGGGGTGGAGCGCCTGCGAACCGAGGATAGGCCGTCCCGCCGAGCTCGGACGCGCCGCGCGGGGCGCATGCGGCCTACCTGCCGGGCGCTCCACAGTGGGCCAGAAGACCGGTGGACTCTCCACGCGTTTCGAGCTCCAGAGTCGCTAAATGGGTCTCAAACCGAACGTGTGACCCCACCAATGGATTGCTCTCCGAACGAGGAATCCATTGGTGGGGTCACACGCTGGATTCGAGGCCTGTTTGGCGACTCTGGAGCTCCAAAACGCGTCATGAGTTTCGTCCGCCTCCACCGGTCTTCTGGCCCACTGTGCGGAGGCCCCCAAGGTCCCCGAAGGCCCTCGAGGCCCCGAAGCGGCCACTCCGAGGCAGGGCGGGGCCCTCGGTGGGCCCCGGGCCGGCCTGGCGCACGTGCTCGTCTCTAGATTTATGGCCCGCGTCACGACATAGTCACACAGAGCGCGCCGCTGGGAGTAAAATAATATACTGCACACTGGCGCAGTGTGTCCTTCCTCCTGGAAGACAAGAACGCCCCCGCCCGAAACGGCGCCTTGGGGTGGCGGG